CTGGGCCTGTTACTATGTATGGATGTGAATGGCAACCCCCTCCTTCCTGTCCTAAATTAACACCCCTAAGGGCAGCCTTTGTGTGGGTGTTCAGCATTGAACCCCAGCCTTCAAGAGTCCAGCATAAAAGAGGCTTTAAATACAAATGAAGAAATTCAGTTGGTTTTTGATTTGGGAGACCACAGAGCCCTCTGAGACACCTGGAAAAATGGATCCACCTGCCAGAAAAGAAAATACACAGAATCCCTACACGCACTCTGGGCCACACAGACGCACTGAGGTCCATCTGGGGGCCCCAGGACATCTGCCAGGGGTCAGGAAGCCTTGTCTGAAAAAGGCCACCAACCCTGCTGACCTGCCTTCTCCCTTGAAAAGTAAAATGAACATAAATTTCAAGCTAGGCTAGGTGAGGAGGAAGAAGCTATTGGCACTAGAGGGTTAGTTTGGGGGTGGGGCTGCTGCTGTCCTCTCACCAGGACCTTTCTCGATAGCCCCCTGCTCCCCTTGGGTGCTTCCTGGGACCAACCGCAGGCCCCAGAGCTGATAAGCAGATAATAGCTTCCCACATAGTGGCAGGGCAGGTTTGCACCTCAGACCTTTTTCTGCCTTGTGATCAACCTGGAGCCAAGAAGGCTGCAACTCCTCCTGAGCCGGCCCCCAGACGGCTGTGTCCCAGCTCCTTAGCAGGATGAGAGAAGCACTCTGAGGAGGCCGGGAGCACTAACTTGCCTGTAATCTCAGTACTTTGGGAGGCAAAAGTGGGAGGATAGCTTGAGCCTAAGAGCTCCAGACCAGCCTAGGCTATAGAGGGAGGCCCCGTCTCTACAAAAAATAGCCAGCTGTGGTGGCATCCATCTATAGTCCCAACCACTCGGGAGGCTCAGGGCGGAGGATTGCTCCAGCCCAGGAGGTCAAGACTGCAGTAAGCCATGCTCACACCACTGCCCTCCAGCCTGGGCAACGACGCAAGACCCTGTCTCTAAAAAAAAAAAAAGAAAAGAAAGAAAGAGAAAGAAAATCACTTTGCCAACAAAGATGTATTCTTTCCTATCACTGCTTTAACAAATTACCAAACAAATTATCAAAACAATACAAACGGATGATAGCTCTGTGGCTCTGAAGTCCAACACCAGTCTCAGCAGGTAAATGCAAGTGTGGGCAAGATGGGTTCCTTCTGGGGGCTCTAGGGGAGGATCCCTTCCTTGCCTTGTGCAGCTTCTCCAGGCCACCCACATCACAGGGCTGGTGGCCCCGCTCATCTCCACCCCTCTGTCCTCTGTGCTCACATGGCTCCAACCACAGCTCGCAAAGGCTCTCTCCTATAAGGACTGATAAGGCCACCCTGCTACACAGAGCCCGCGTATTGGAAGGCCAGCTGATTAGCACCTGTGATTCCAAGGGCAGCCTTAACTCCCCTTCGCCCTGGAGGGTGACATGTTCACGGGTTCCAGAGATTAAGACACTGGCATCTTGGAGAGGCTGTTGCCCTGCTCATTGCAAATGGCTTCCTGAAGAGCCAGAGAAACAGCACCCCCAGGCAGCAGCTCCCCTGGCCGGCGGGATGGGACTGGGGATAGGGACAAACTGGGTTCCTTGGATCTGGGTGTCACCCCTCCAGTCCACTGGAAAGTGGTTTGTTGTGAGGTTCATTGATTCGAAGCTTTGGTTTTGGTCTGGGAGGAGTCCAGATGCATCTTCTGGCAGACTTGACACTGCATGTGGTGGGGCCTGAGCCAGGCAAGGGGTGTGGGAGGGCTGTCCACAGACGCCCACAGTGCCAGCAGGGCTGGTCCAGGCCAGCCCGCCCCCAAAGCCCAAAACCAGAATGCACCTTCTTGGGACCCCAGCACCCGCAGGCCACCACAGGCTGTCAATGTCGGTTCCCCAATCAGCCTGTGGGGAAAGGGACTGCACCCCAGCCGCAGCCCCAGTGCCCGGGACAAAACCAGGCTCCTGTGGGGGCCCCACAAATGCCTGGTGACTTGTCAGAAAGCACTCAGTGGGATTGCTGGGGACACTGAAGCTCATCCAGGCCAGGCAGATGGCCCTGGCAACGTCCAACAGGAAAGAGGGCCTGGGGCAAGGGACAACCCAGACCCCAGAGACCCAATCCCAGGGCTGCCACTTACCTACACCATGCCCTTAGACAAACCACTTACCCTCTTCGAGCCTCAGTTTTCCTCTCTGTGAAGTGGGAGGCCATCTACCTCAGAGCCTCAAGAACCACACAACATGATGGGCTAAAAGCTGTCTGCTCTAGAGGACCTGCAGAGTGCGACCCCCTGGAAGTCTCCTTCGCACAATGCGTTAACTTTACTTATATTTACTGTTAATGTTTGATTTGCTTGCAAGGAAAATATTAGCTTTAATTTTTTAAAAATTTATTGTAAAGAAACATTTCAAACAAACTGAAAAGTATTGCAAATCATATATTCTTTTTTTTTGAGACAGGGTCTCGCTCTGTCGCCCAGGCTGGAGTGCAGTGGCACGATCTTGGCTCACTGCATGCTCCGCCTCCTAGGTTCATGCCATTCTCCTGCCTCAGACTCCTGAGTAGCACAAATCATATATTCTTTAAACACCTACCACCTGGCCGGGTGCAGTGGCTCACGCCTATAATCCCAGCACTTTGGGAGGCCAAGGCAGGTGGATCACTTGAGGTCAGGAGTTTGAGACCAGCCTGGCCAACATGGTGAAACCCTGTCTCTACTAAAAAAATACAAAAATTAGCTGGACACAGTGGCGCACACCCATAGTCCCAGCTACTCGGGAGGCTGAGACTGGAGAATCACTTGAACCTGGGAGGCAGAAGTTGCAGTAAGCTGAGATCGCACCACTACACTCCAGCCTAGGTGACAGAGTAAGACTTTATCTCAAAAAACAAAAAACCATATATATACACACACACACACACACAAATATACATATATATTTATCAAGTATTAAAGTTTGCCATGAATTTAAAATATGTTTCATTTTATGAAATAAAGAAACAGCAAATTCTACCTCCCCATTTCTTCCTCCCCCTCCTTCCATGGGGTAAGCTCCCCGGGGGTCTTCCCATCCATGTTTCAGAGTCTTCCTTCATCTCTGTGTAGCTGCAAGCACTGCCATTGTTCTGTCTATTTAAATATCTACACGCTTGGCATTGTATTATACTAATGTTTTGCAACTTGCATTTTTAAGCTAGTTTATTACTTTTACAGAATTAAGATGCTCTGTGTAGGGAAGGATTTGGGGATTTTCTTCCTGAGCCATCTGGCAAGCACCTGAATGGATTCTGAGTCAGTCCCCTGCTGGGTCCCGCTGGGGCCCTGCTGGGTTCCTGTGGTGAGTCTGTGATCCCCCCTACCTGGGCGTACCTGCCACATTGGCCATCCGCAGGGCTTCCTGGTTCTTGGGCGTCTTGGAGCGGTTCTGGCTGCGCTGTTTGCTCCCCGTGGACCGGATGCTGCGGAAGTGGACCTCCGTGGCCTTGAAGAAAGCCACCATGAAGGGCTGCTTATTCTGGGGCCCGTGCCGCCCAATCAGGCCCGCCAACTTGGGGTTGATGCTCTGCCCTGGACAGGAAGCAGCCAAGTGCACAGAAGAGTAGTTACAGGAGGGCCACGAGCGGGACAGGGCTGCAGAGACGCTACGCCTCCCGGTTCATTCATGAACTCTTTATTCCTCCATCCAGCAACTATTTATTGAGTACTCACTCTAGGCCAGGTACTGTTTAAGCAACTTGGAACACAACTGCGAGAGCAGCCAAGAAAACATCCTGTTCTCTGGGTTTCCATGCAAGTGGGGAAGGCAGGCAGGAAATATAAGGGGTGGGGAACCAGGCTGAGGGCTGCGGAAGGTGGCAAGCTAGCGAACCCCATAAGTGCCACTCACATTCCATTGGCCAAAGCAGGTCATGGTATCTGCCTAATATCACGGAGTTGGGGGGCAATCTTGCTCTGTGCCAGGGAAGGTGGGAGCAACTGCAAACAACCCTAATGACTACAGGGGCCATCTCAGTAGAGATCTGGGTAACAGTGAGTGAGGGGGCTCACTGGATGTTTGGGAAGAGTGTATTCCAGGCAGAGGGAACTGCAGAGGTGAATGTATGGGGGCAGGAGTGAGGAGGGTGTGTTCAAGGGGCAGGGGTGAGTAGCAGGGACAACTGGGAGGGACAGAAGGGGCACGAGTCAGGTTGGGTCCTATGGGCAACACGAGCACCTGCCTCAGCCCAGTGTCCTGCGTGGCTGGTGTCCCCTAAAATTCACACCCATGAGCACCTGCCTCAGCCCAGTGTCCTGCATTGCTGGTGTCCCCTAAAATTCACGCCCACGAGCACCTGCCTCAGCCCACTGTCCTGCATTGCTGGTGTCCCCTAAAATTCACACCCACGAGCACCTGCCTCAGCCCACTGTCCTGCATTGCTGGTGTCCCCTAAAATTCACACCTACACAGAACCTCAGGATGTGACCTCATTTGGAAGCATGGTCTTTGCAGATGTGCTGTGGTCAATTAAAATAAGCTCATACTGGATTAGGATGAGCGTTAATCCAGTGACTAGTGTCCCCATAAGAAGGCCACATAAAGACACAGATGCAAACAGCCCGGGGAAGACAGAGGCCATGAAGCACCAAAGATTGCCAGGAGCCACTGAAGCTGGAAGAGGCAAGGAGGGATTCCTCACTAGAGCCTTTGTAAGAGGACAACCCTGTGGCACCTTGACTTTGGACTTCTATCCTTCAGACTGTGAGAGAATAAAGCCCTGTTGTTTCAAGCCACCCAGTGAGTGGAACTTCACATCCAGGGCCCTGGTTAGGACACCAAGGCACTCTGCAAGAAGTGAGAACCACTAGGGTAGGACTTTCAGTGGTTTTTATAAGGTCACTCAGGCTGCCCCTGGAGACCCGACTGCAGGGGTCAACCTGGAAGCAGGGAGACCAAGTGGAGGCAACAGAATGGTTCAGGTCAGAGGTGACGTGAGACTGGACCGAGGGTGGTGGGGAGGGAGGCTGGTGAGAAATGGCCAGATCCTCAAGAGTTCATTTTTAAAATCCACCTTTAGAATTTATTTTGGTTTTAACTTTTTGCTGTGAAATGATTACAGATTCACAGGAAGTTGAAAGACGATGTACAGGGAGGTCCCAAGTGCCCTTCATCCAGTTTCCCCCAAAGCTGACGTCTCAAATAACGAGAACACAGCCTCCAAACCAGGAAAGTGGCAGATTTAGGACTGAATTTGGGGAGGGATTATAAAAGGTGTGAGATAAAGGGGAGTCTCATGAGACTGGCATGCTCTTGGCCCAAGCCCCTGGAAGAAGAGAGGGGCTATTTACCAAGGTAGGGAAACTGAGGCAATGGAGCATAAGCTGGGAAATAGAGGGTAGAAGACAAAATGCAGTTTGGTTTAGCAGATATTATCTGAAATCCCTACTTGACACCAAAAGGAAGGTGTCAGGTGGGCAGCAGAGGTCTGGTCTAGGCTTGATCAATTGATCAATTGGAAGAGATGAGCTCTGGGCTAGTAAGGGGGGCAGCCGGGCCCAGGCCAGACCGCCTGGGTTCAAAGCCCTGCCTCTGTCACTTAATGCACAGCTGGGGCTCAGGGCAGAGCTTTGTGCACCCTAAGTGCTCAATAAATGCTAGCTCGGGGCAGAGTTTTGCACACCCTAAGTACTCAATAAATGCTAGCTCAGGGCAGTGGTCCAGATAGTAATGTAAGCTTGGGCATCCCCAGCATAGCGATGGGATTTAAAGCCAGAAGACTGGATGAGCTCACCTGGGGAAAGTGTGCAGCCTGAGAAGCAATGTGAAGACTGAGCCTAGGTGGCCTCTGTCTTCCACTGAGAGGTCAGGAGAATGCAGTGGAGACTGTGCAGGAGTACCCGGTAAGGAAGGATCTGAAAGAAGCTTGGGCAGGAAGAATGGGGACACCAGCAGGGTATGGGGTCCCGGAAAACAGGGGAGGAAAGTGGAGGGAGCAAACTCCATGTCCTGTGCTCTGCAGATGGACCCAAGAACACACTACCTCTCCATTGGCCGACAATGATGAGGTCATTGGCAATATATATGTAATGCCATGCCTGGGTGATGAGTATGTCAAAGCCAAAAAACAAAAAAAGCATCCACTGGAAACAAAGCCTATTTCACACATGACAGCACAAGCTCAGAGAGGCTGAATAACCCACCCAGGGATACCCAGCTTGGAAGCCACCAATCAGAATCTGAACCCAGATGAGGACAACAGGGAGTTTGGGGGGCTGAGCCTCTGCAGATACGGTGCCCCCAAGTTGGGTGGGAGGGGTCAGAGGCCAGCAAGTGATGGGCCCGTTCACATCTGGAATTAACTTCACCTGGAGTCCCCCAGACGGGCCAGAAGTCCAGAAACCCAGCCTCCCAGGACCAGATCGGCACCAGGGGGTTCACTTTGGTTTTTTAACAACTAATGTTTAAAAGAACACATTTCCCCCCACCCGCCACTATTTTACCTTAACCCCCTTTAACGTTCGGCTTCCCTGCATTCTTGAGCGGGGTTTCCCCGAGTTCACCCATCTATAATTTGAATGGTTCTATAAAAGAAACCATTAAAGCTGAGCCCCTAGGAATTGTGTTTCCCCCCTAGAAGGCTTTTAGGGCAAAATAAAAATGCCTGGCCTGAAAAGCTGATGCTGTTCCAGATACCTTAAATCCACGTGCTGCAAAAACTCTCTGCGCCTCTGAGCAGAGGCGTCTGGCTTGCTTTGGGCAGCTGTCAGGACAGCCACATCCAGGGAGCCACAGCCTCAGCTGAGAAGTGTCAGGACAGAGGGGCAAGAAGTGGGTCTCAAGGGTGTTTAAACCCACGTCTGCCACTAACCAGCCTATGCGGGCTGAGAGAGGCAAGTTGTATGCTGGGGCCTGAATTTCCTCATCTGTAAAATGGGGATGATGCCATGAGACACATCTGCCCCCTCTTTCCTTGGTAGCCAATCGGATTTTCATTGAGGCTGTTGTGGCTTACACAGCCTCCACACTGGCCTTAGAGGAGGGGCCTGTGGTTTAATAAAAGGCAGCTAATCCTCTGGCTACAGTGATTAGTTCAGGGATGAGCACATGACCCATTTTGGCCAATAAATGAAGGAGAGGTATCCTGGAGGTTTCTGGAAAAGAAGCCTCCCACTCTGGTGTCCAGAAGGAAGCCCCCCGCCCCCTCCTCCTGCCCTCTCTCTCTCTCTCAACAGGATTGAGGGAGGACGGATGGATGCAGCCACAGAAACGGCCACCATCTGGCAATCACAGGTGACCATGTTTCCAAAGAGGCCACGCTGGTAGAAGGCAGAGCAGAGAGACCGGGTCTCTCCCGACATTGCTAAGTCACTGGATCAAGTCAGCCCTGAAGCCCGCATTCTCACCCCAGCCACTAAGATGAAAAACCCTTTGACCGCTTAGTCTGAACTGGTATTTTGGGTTATTCTTGTCCCTTTCCTAGAGACTTGGGGACAGGGAGCATGGTGCCAGCCATCTAGGACCTGACATGGAACAGGTGCTCTGAGGGCAGGTATGGAATCTTCCCCTCTGTCACCGAGTTTGGGAAAAGGTTCAGGATTTTAACCTAAAGGCTGAACAACACCACGGCAGACACTTATTCACCTTCAACAACAACAACAGAAGGATACAGAAAATACACTGGCAATTCCTAAAAAGGGTTTAATATGTAGTCTTCATGTGACCCAACAATTCCACTCCTAGGTGTATACCCACAAGAACTGAAAACACAGGTTCACACGAAAAACTTGTACACGAGAGTTGGCAGCAGCATTATTTATGGTGGCCAAAAAGTGGAAACAACTCGATGTCCATTAACTAATGAAAGGATAAACAAAATACGGTGTATCCATACAGGGGAATATTGTTTGCCATAAAAAGGAGTCATTTTCTGATCCATGCTACAACACGGACAAACCTTAAACTCGCTACACCAAACGGAAGAAGCCAGATGCAAAAGCCACACATTGAATGATCGCATTTCTATGATATGTCTGGAACAGGTAAATCCATAGAAGTAGAAAGTAGCTGACTGGTTGCCTAGAGCTAGGGGTTGGGGTAGCAGGGAGTGGCTGTTAAGGGATATTTCGGTGGGAGTGATGGAAACGTACTAGAATTAGACAATGAGATGGCTGCACAACAATGAGAATATACTAAAAATAAATAACTGAATTGCACACTTTGAAATGGTGGGTTTTATGTTAGGAAAATTAGATCTCACATTTTTAAAAAGCCGAAAAGCAAAACAGGGGTGGGAATGACCCACTCACTGTGCCTTAGAGGGACAGTTTTTATGAATAACTGTAAGGATGCCTACCGCACAGTCTGGCTATATACTCAATGAATAAATGCCTGCCTCACCAACAGCAGACTAGGAGCTCACGGCCCACCCCATCCTCAACACAGCCCCAGGGCAGATGCCGCAAGCTCACTTTGCAAAGGAGGAGCAAGACCGAGTGAGGAAGACCTTTGAGCTGGTCCATGGCAAGGCCAAGATTCGAACCCTGGTCTGTCAAAACCAAAGCCTGCATTCTCTGCCATGACAGCTACAAGC